CATTAGGCCCTAATCTATGGATTTCACATGACTGGGCAGGGGCGCAGCCATGGGTGGGCCTGGGAGGGCATATACCCACTGGGGAGCCAGGCCCTACGAATCAGATTTAGTTTTTCCCCACAAAAGGGCTTTATTATAGACAGAAATACCCCTCAGTTTCATACACAAAAATGTATGCACGCATGACTGTAAGTCGCTTTGGATAAAAACGTCTGCTAAGTGGCATATTATATTATTATTATTATTATTATCAGTTGTCCTGTTACAGGAGGGTGTCGCAGTTCTGGAGCGACCCACTATGTGTCATCCTCCGACAACCTTACTCACAGTCTGGACTAGTCATCATCCTATTGGTGTCACCTGTTCACCTGTGTATTTATGCCCTCACTTCCCTGTGTTCCCTTGCTCAGTTTTCTCTGCTAGTTTCTCTATGCTCAGCAGTACTAATCAGTGTCTGATCGGAGAAGTATGTACAGGTACTCGAGACCTCACTAATGCTCTTGTGGCTGAATAGAAGCAAGTCCCCGCAGCAATGTTCCAACATCTAGTGGAAAGCCTTCCCAGAAGAGTGGAGGCTGTTATAGCAGCAAAGGGGGAACCAACTCCATATTAATACCCATGATTTTGGAATGAGATGTTTGACGAGCAGGTGTCCACATACTTTTGTTCATGTAGTGTAGCTACCTCATTCCCATCGTACCCCTGCACATTGACTCGGGACTGGTACTCCCTGTAGCCATGGTATTTTTACTCCTTATTGTTTGAGTTTGAGTTTGAGTTTATTTTTACAGGGACAGTGCACATTAATCAACGTTTCAGTAAAAGTGCCGGTTTTAGCCAGCCGGCTAATTTTCAACCGCAGTCCCTGGGCAGGTTATTAAAAACAATTACAATATAGACAATAACAACATAGAACAAGACATAGCATACAGACATAGCAACATAGGACAAACAAGACGTAGCATACAGACCGAGCAACATAGAACAAAAAGCAGCAAGACAAAATTCATAAAAGCAACAAAGTGTTTCCACACCTCACAAGTTACAGACAACAGACATGGAAAGCGGCAACACACAGCTAGGGACCATGTTCACAAATCTGATTGACCTTTAGCCATGTCTTCAAGCATTTTGTGAAAGTGTGATATGTGGTGCAGTTATGTGTGTCTGATGGCAGTGTATTCCAGACATGGGAAGCTCTCACAGAAAAAGCAGATTTACTAAAGGTGCTTTTCCTTAGGGGAACTACACAGTCACCTCTCATGGCAGACCTTGTGGATCTGCTGCCATATGTTTGGGTTTTCTGTTTAACAAAAATACTGAGTGGAGGGGGAGCCAAGCCATTTAGGATCTTGAATACAAGACATGCATCGGTGTATTGCACAAGATTTTCCCAACTCAGGAGCTCATGCTTTCTAAGGATGTGACAGTGATGATGGCTATTGGGCTTCCTATCAAGCACTTTAAGAGCCTGTTTGTAGACAGACTGAATAGGTCTTACTGTTGTACAGCAAGCTTGGGCCCAACTAGTCAAGCAGTATGTTAAGTGGGGGAGTATCATAGATTTGAAGTACAGTTTTGCTACCTCTGTAGTCAAACAATTTCGTATAAATCGGAAATTAGCTAGGTTGAATTTGGTTATTTGAATTACCTTTTTCACATGCTTTTTAAAAGAGAGGTTGGAATCAAGTATGATGCCAAGGTACTTAAAATCAGATACCCCCTGGAGCTTCTCCCCTGACACATAGACTTCTGGCTCAGTAGCATCTGTTGCCCCCTTTGTGAAGAACATGCAAACAGTTTTTTTCACATTGAGATGCAAACACGAGTCACTGAGCCACTTTGTAACCTGGACCATTACAGTTGTGAGTTCTTGTGCAGCTTGTTGTTTGCTCTTTGCATGCACATATATCACTGTATCATCTGCATACATTTGAACTTCAGACCCAGTACAGACAGAAGGCAGATCATTAATGTACAGGCTGAACAGGAGGGGCCCCAGTATTGACCCTTGGGGCACACCCACATCATAGCTAAGAGTGGGCGACAGCTCATTGCTCACTCTGACACACTGAGTTCTGCCTTCAAGGTATGATTTCATCCATCTCAAGGCATCGGGGGAAAAGTTGAACTTGGACAATTTTGTGATGAGAATCTCATGGTTAACAGTATCAAAAGCCTTCCTTAGGTCCAGAAACACAGCCCCAACAACGCCCCCTTTGTCCATCTTGGACTTCACATTTTCCAGAAAAAAGCAGTTGGCCATTTCTGTGGAGTGTTTCGCTCTGAAGCCAAACTGCATGGAATGTAATGTGAAGGGGCTGTTGTTGAGGTGGGCAATCAGTTGTTCTGCTACACACTTTTCAACAATCTTTGACACCACAGGTAGTATACTAATGGGCCTGTAGTTACTCACATCAGCAGGGTCGCCTGATTTAAAGATGGCCGTTATTATGGCCGACTTCCATACCCTTGGAAACACCCCGAGACCAATAGATGTGTTGGTGACCTTAGTAATGGGGCCAATGAGTGACTCTTTGTAGTTTTTAAGAAAGGTAGAGTCCATCCCAAACACATCTTTGGCTTTAGAGTTCTTTAGTGAGCTAATCACCTTGTCTACCTTTGACTCAGAAACCTCCCTTATGATGAAGACAGGTTGAGCATCATTTACTAGCACTGAGCCCAAGAAACCAGTGGAGGGGTTCTGTGTTAGTACCCTGACAGAGTCAATAAAGTAGGAATTGAAGGCTATTGCTATTTCGACTGCATCCTGTGTTAGATTGTTATTCACCATGATTTCTAGTCTTTTTGCAGTGTTACTATGGTCTTTCCCTGTTAACTTTTTTAGATTCTCCCAGATCAGTTTAGAATTTCCCTTTGCTTCACCAATTATGTTAATAAAAAAGTTTGCCTTGGCCTGTCTGATTTCCTTCATCACCTTATTTCTCAACATGGTAAACCTACGTCTGTCATGCTCTAATTTGGATCTTAGGGCTATTTTTAGATAATAATCTCGTTCTTTCATCAATTTCCAGATTTCTCCATTTAGCCAAGGAAGAGTGCTCTTTTGGCCAGGTTTGGATTTGATTTTCTTTAGGAAACCATTTAATGTAGTCTGGATTGTGGATAGAAAAACTTGACTATCAGCTTCCACGTCTGCATAGGACAAGAGATCATTCCAGTTAATTCCCTTAATTGCATTTTCAAAATAGCTTATTCACTGTGTATTTATTCCTTGTCACTATTTCTATTATTATTATTTTTATCTTTAACTCTGCATTGTTAGAAAAGGACCCGTAAGTAAGCATTTCACTGTTGTTTACGAAGCATTTGACAAATAAAATGGATTTGATTTTGTAGTAGTAACAGAGTTCTGTGTTCTGTGTTCCATACCAGGGTTCTGATCAAGAAAAACTTTGCTTTTCACTAAATTAATTGTATGATGATTCACATAGGTTGCCTGCAATATATTCATTACATTGTGGTGAATCTTCTATTGTTGGTTGCTCCTGGATATTGTGTTGTTGTGTAGTGGTACAGTGGAGAGACACTTGTAATACTCAGCAAAGTTAAAATAACCAATGTGATTGATGTTGCTCCATCCAGCAAGAGGGATTAATTCTAGTGTTTGAAATATTTAGAATCATTACAAAACACATACCACAGAACCAAGCTTGGCATAGGCTTTAATTAACCAATGTTTAAATGTACAGACAATTTAGATAAAGATAAAGATATTGTGCTCTAAAAATAGAGTCTCTTTGCTTTTGACTCTGCTTTTCAACCCCATAATAACCATTAATACCTGGAATTAAAAAAGCCATTCAAGCACATTATAACACTGCAATACTGAGACATTAAAATGCCACCTAACAGTAGTGATTGGCTCTGTTGCTAAGCAGTTAAGGTACAGGTACTTAATGAGCACATTCTAATGGTTGGATGGATTCAATACTTCAGCCAAAGGTATCATGACTTTAAAGGCCCAGTGCAAAAACATGATTTTTCTGTGTTTTATATACATTTCCACACTACGAGGTTGGAATATTACTGTGAAAATTATGCTAATGCCCTTTTAGTGTAAGGCCTGTTTGAAAGGACCACCTGCAAATTCAGCCTCTTTTGGTGGGATGGAGTTTTGGCCTGCCTGGTGACATCACCAGGTGGTAAATGAGTTAATAGACCAATAAGAAAAGAGTTCCAAACCTCTGCCAATAACAGCTAGTTTTCAGTGTGCCCCTTCCCACTAAGACCACTCCCACAGACAGTCCTAGCAAAATTCTTGCTTGAGAAATTGCTCTTAGCTAAGAAGCTATTTTTGTTTCTTTTTGACCATTTAAATTGAAAACAATCACAGTTAGGTACTTAATTGTTACCCAGAAATGATTTGATATTGAGATAAAAATGGCTGCATTGGACCTGTAATACTATGAATACTGAGATGAATACAAGTATAGGACAACGGTCCAATGTGTCCATAGGTCCACATTGGAACCTAGAGTTAAGCTCTTATAGGCACATTCTAGGTTGCTCTAGCTCAACGTTTTCCAAACTCTGTCCTCGGGACCCCAAGGGATGCACATTTAGGTTTTTGCCCTAACACTACACAGTTGATTCAAATTATCAAAGCTTGATGATTCGTTTATTATTTGAATCAGCTGTGTAGTGCTAGGGCAAAAATCTAAATGATGACCAAACAGAAAAGAGGAAGTCATTTTTTTTTACTTCTCGGTCTCAAATTATACCCTATATAGTGCACAAAATAGGAAATAGGGTGTCATTTGAGTATCGTTCATCACATTTCAATCTTTTTCATAACAGTCACTTTGTCAGCCAGCATAGTCCACTTCACAGTGTGGTTGCTTGGTTGGTGTCGGCTCTTCCGTTTGGGTTGAAATTAGCACCAGGAGCATACTGTAAATTTTTGAAAGAAAACATCCTATTTTCAACCCAGGTCTGGTACTCTGGTTCTAAGCTGGTTCTCCACCCTTCCCCAGTGTCTATGCCTTGCTCTTGGCCTTCTTCTGCAGCCGGGTCCTGGTGGGTTCTGTGAGGACCAGAGGCTCCTGGACCACCATGGCAGGGTACTTCCTCCCCAACATCTCCACCTCCACCTTCTGCCCCACAGAACACAGCTCCACTGGCAGGTAAGCAAATGCCAGGCTCTGCTGGGTGGTGTAGCTGTAGGCCCCAGATGTAGTGTTACCAACCACCTAGGAGAGATAGAGAAGGTTGCAGGAAGGCAAACGTTGGGTGGAAGTGGAAGCCTCTGATGTTGTGTTGCCTCTATACCACCTGACACACACACACAAACCTTAACCCCAAACCTAACCCTAACCTTAACCCCAAACCTAACCCTTAAGCCTAAAATAGCATTTTAACAAGTTCATTTTTTTTCTTGTTTTCCTACCTTGTCAGAACATTCTGGTGACTTCTCAGGACATTGTGGTCCTGATAAGGTAGGAAAACATGTACAAACACACACACACACACACACACAGCTCACTTTGCCATTGAGCCAGATGGTCTCGTTGCCCTCTGGGTCAACATCGTCCGTATCCATGGTGATGTACGAAAGCTTCCTCTTCAGACCTTTAGCTTTGATCTCCTGCAGCGCTGCCTTACCGATGAAGTCTGCAGGCTGGAGACAGACAGGGAGAGATGTTAGAGAGTGGGTGTGTGTGCTGTATTTATACGTAGCATAAATAACCAAAAAATAATACAGGTGTGTAGGAGAAATGTTAACTAAGTAGACTTAGTATACTGGCTACATGGCACAATTACATAACATCTAAAAATAAGCTACATGTTTGAATATGAACACCTCTATTTGAACACACATACAGTGGTTGACTGGTGAAACAGCAGTAGCTAGTAACAATGTCTACCTTGTTGAGTTTGATGAAGTAGTCCAGACCAGCTTCCAGAGGGTTGGTGTCACAGTTCATCTGATGAGACAAAAACATCAGTCCAACATCCACAAACAACTTAAAAAGGTGTGTGTGTGTGTGTATGTGTGTACACCTCTGCACCCCAGCCTCTGAAGCCTTTCTCCAGTCGTAGTGATGACATGGCGTAGGTACCAAAGTTGTCGATGCCCTCGTCCTCTCCCGCTGCCATGATAGCCTGGTACACCGCTGCAATGTCCTTCTGAGGAATGTACAGCTCCCAGCCCAACTCACCTGAAACACACACACACAGCCAGTTGAGCTGTACATTCACTCACACGCTACATGTACTCTTAAAAATGTTTAAGCTCACAAACACACACACACGTACACACACCTGTGTAGGAGATCCTGATAGCTCTGAGGTTGATGCCAGCCAGTTGAATGGGTTTGCAGTGGAGGAACTTGAAGCTTGCGTCGCTCATGTCCTCCTGAGTGAGTTTCTGTAGAACGTCTCTAGCCTTTGGTCCAGCCACACCCAACACCCCAATGTCCTCTGTCACGTTAGAAATGTCTACATCATATGCCCCCTCTGCTGCCTCTTTCTCAATCCACCTGGGGTTAGGGAGGGATCCATAGGGTTATATGGTTATGCTTACAACTTCAAGGAACTCAGAAAGGAAAATAAACACCGGCACAATGTTGATTCATCTAATCAAAGTCTTCGATATGAGCTTTGATTAGTTGAATCAGGTATATTAGTGTAGGGCTGGAGCAAAACCCTGCACCCACATGGCCCTTGGTGGAAAAGATAAGTCAGCCCTTCTCCTGTTACCACTAGGGGGTGATATACAACACCACCAGACTGTCTCAGGGAGTATGAGAGAGACTGAGAGCTGAATGAATAGAGTGAGAGGAATTAGAGATTCATTTGTTTTTAATGTGCTGTGTGCCTATTGGAGCAGAGAGAGGGGCCGTTACAGTAACAGCTGCTGTGAGAGGTTGGATTACTGAGTTATACTACCAGTGTTTCTAAGTGGGTTAGAATAATGTTATATAATGGAATACTGAATAATTTTATATGGGACGGCTTGACTCTACACCTTGCTGGCCTGGGCTAGTCAGTCAGTCAGTCAGTCAGTCAGTCAGTTAGTCAGTCAGTCAGTCAGTCAGTGTTACCTGAGGTCGTGTAGCTCTGATCCAGATCCTGTGATGAGGAGGAACTCTCCAGGTGTGAGCTGGGTAATGGTGACCTCAGCGTAGACTCTCCCAGTGGGGGTCAACATGTGGCTGATGTTAGTCAGGCCCACCTGACATGGGAGAGAGTGAAACATAAATTTAACATAAACCTCTAACTGGGCAGCAAACTGAACACTGCCACCTGTTGGCAATAGTGAGTTATACAGTGGTGCAGTGAGCTGTCTATGAGAGTGACTGAGTTTTGCCTGGTGCGATGCAGTGATACAGTCCCTCTCGCTTTGGGCCTAGTGTTGGTGAGATACAGTAAGAAGTAATATAGAAGCATGGTGAGTTGTAATACAGTGAGTTGTATATAGCAGAGTTGTAATACAGTGAGTTGTAATACAGTGAGTAGTTGTGTATAGTGTTATCCTTACCTTGGGCATAGTGTTGGCGAACAGTCTGTCCAGCAGTTTCTGAGAATCCTTCCCTTTAACCATGAACTTGCCAAAGGGTGTCAGGTCAACGACCCCAACCTTCTCCATCACCAGCTTACACTCCCTCCCCACTGGACCGAACCAGTTGGTACGCCTGAAACTGGGCCTGGGGAGTAAACAGACAGACACTTGGGGGTTAGTTACTTGGTTTATTTAAAATGTAATGACAAAGTATTGGCTGGGACAGACCTGCACAGTCGTGAAGAGAGCAAGGCAGCGCCTCTTCCCGCTCAGGAGGCTGAAAATATTTGGATCCTCAAAAAGTTATACAGCTGCACCATCGAGAGCATCTTGACTGGCTGCATCACCGCTTAGTATGGCAAATGCACCGCCCTCGACCGCAAAGTGCTACAGAGGGTGGTGCGGACAACCCAATACATCACTGGGGCAGAGCTCCCTGCCATCCGGGACCTCTATATCAGGCGGTCTCAGAGGAAGGCCCGAAAAATTGCCAAAGACTCCAGCCATCCAAGCCATAGACTGTTCACTCTGCTACCGTCTGGCAAAATGGTCCCGGCATCGACTCTCGGACCAACAGGCTTCGAGACAGCTTCTACCCACAAGCCATAAGACTGCTAAATGGTAAATTAATGTCACCCGAACTATCTGCACTGACCCTATCTTGCACTGACGCAACACACACTCACTAGACATATACAGTACCAGTCAAAAGTTTGGACACACCTACTCATTCAAGGGTTTTTCTTTATTTTTTTACTATTTTCTACATTGTAGAATAATAGTGAAGACATCAGAACTATGAAATAACACATATGGAATCATGTAGTAACCAAAAAAGTGTTAAACAAATCAAAATATATTTTATATTTGAGATTCTTCAAATAGCCACCCTTAGACAGCTTTGCACACTCTTGGCATTCTCTCAACCAGCTTCACCTGGAATGCTTTTCCAACAGTCTTGAAGGAGTTCCAACATAAGCTGAGCACTTGTTGGCTGCTTTTCCTTCACTCTGCCGTCCGACTCATCCCAAACCATCTCAATTGGGTTGAGGTTGGGGGATTGTGGAGGCCAGGTCATCTGATTCAGCATTCCATCACTCTCCTTCTTGGTAAAATAGCCCTTACACAGCCTGGAGGTGTGTTGAGTCATTGTCCTGTTGAAAAACAAATGATAGTGGGACCCAAACCATATGGGACGGCGTATTGCTGCAGAATGCTGTGGTAGCCATGCTGGTTATGTGTGCCTTGAATTCTAAATAACTTCACAGACAGTGTAACCAGCAAAGCACCCCCACACAATAACACCACCTCCTCCATGCTTTACGATGGGAACTACACATGCAGAGATCATCCATTCACCCACACCGCGTCTCACAAAGACACGGCGGTTGGAACCAAAAATCTCCAATTTGGACTCCAGACCAAAGGACAAATGAGGGAAAAGTCAAGGGGTCTGAATTCTGTCCGAAGGCACTGTATACACATACACTCCATGACCAAATGTATGTGGACACGTCTCGTCGAACATCTCGTTCCAAAATCATGGGCATTAATATGGAGTTGGTCCCTCGTTTCAAATCAAATTGAATTTGCCACATGTGCAAAATACAACAGGTGTAGACCTTACAGTGAAATGCTTACTTACAAGCCCTTAACCAACAATGTAACAAATAATTAAAGAGCAGCAGTAAAATATAATAACAATAGGGAGGCTATATACAGGGGATACCGGTAGAGAGTCAATGTTCAGGGGCACCGGTTAGTCGAGGTAATTTAGGTAATATGTACATGTGGGTAGAGTTAAAGTGACTATGCATAGATAATAAACAGAGTAGCAGCAGCGTAAAAGAGGGGGTGGGGTGGGGGGGACAATGCAAATAGTCCGGGTAGCCATGATTAGCTGTTCAGGAGTCTTATGGCTTGGGGGTAGAAGCTGTTAAGAAGCCTTTTGGACCTAGACTTTTGCTGCTATATCAGCCTCCACTCTTCTGGGAAGGCTTTCCACTAGATGTTGGAACATTGCTGCGGAGACTTGCGTCCATTCAGCCACAAGCGCATTAGTGAGATCGGGCACTGATGTTGTCCGATTAGGCCTGGCTTGCAGTCGGCGTTCCAATTCATCCCAAAGGTGTTCGATGGGGTTGAGGTCAGGGCTCTGTGCAAGTTCTTCCATACCGATCTATTTTGTATGGACCTCGCTTTGTGCACGGGTGCATTGTCATGCTGAAACAGGAAAGGGCCTTCCCCAAACCGTTGCCACAAAGTTGGAAGCACAGAATTGTCTAGAATGTCATTGTATGCTGTAGCGTTAAGCTTTCCCTTCACTGGAACTAAGGGGCCTAGCCCGAACCATGAAAAACAGCCCCAAACCATTATTCCTCCTCCACCAAACTTTACAGGTATCACTATGCATTCGTGCAGGTAGAGTTCTCCTGGCATCCACCAAACCCAGATTAGTCCGTAGGACTGCCAGATGGTGAAGCGTGATTCATCACTCCAGAGAACGCATTTCCACTGCTCTAGAGGCCAATGACGGCAAGCTTTACAATACTCCAGCCAACGCTTGGCATTGAGCATGGTGATCTTAGGCTTGTGTAGGCTTGTGTGCGTGCGGCTTGTCGGCCATGGAAACGCGCTTCTGCACGCGGCGGTCCCATTCTGTGAGCTTGTGTGGCCTACCACTTCGCGGCTGAGTCGTTGTTGCTCCTAGACATTTCCACTTCACAATAACAGCACTTACAGTTGACCGGGGCAGATCTAGCAGGGCAGACATTTTACAAACTGACTTGTTGGAAAGGTGGCATCCTATGACGGTGCCACGTTGAAAGTCACTGAGCTCTTCAGTAAGGCCATTCTACTGCCAATGTTACTGTGAGCTCGATTTTATACCCTGTCAGCAACAGGTCTGGCTGAAATAGCAGAATCTACTAATTTGAAGGGGTGTCCACATACAATTGTATATATAGTGTATTTATTGGCTAGAGTTTCTTGCCAGACTTAACGCTGTGCTATAAAATAACAGTCATACAAGGACATGGCATTAGGAAGGAGACTATTCACAGCCAGTACTTACATAATGTTGCATCACTGAGCCCTTATACAGTAGGTTTTTATAGTTTTACATATGGACAACTATTTTCATATACCATGGGCATAATTTCATAAAGAAATTCCACAGATTGTGCTAGATTCTCTGAGCCAATAAATAGCCTAGTCAGCCACTTGTGGGTGGCCAAGTGGAAGCTAACCCTGGGTTTGAGTTGGCCAACTGGATCCTAAACCTGAGTTTAAACGGGCCAACTGGAACCTAACCCTAGGTTTGATCTCCAAAACACCTCCAGCTCTTAAAACAAAAGTGGTTTCAGACCAACACATGAGGATGAAGTTGGACTGATATTATCAGTCTAGTGGTTAGATGACGCGGATGCTACGCTACAAGACTGTTTTGCTAGCACAGATTGGAATATGTTCCGGGATTCATCCAATGGCATTGAGGAGTATACCACCTGCACGTGCATTGACGACGTCGTCCCCACAATGACCGTACGTACATATCCCAACCAGAAGCCATGGATTACAGGCAACATCCGTATCGAGCTAAAGACTAGAGCTGCCGCTTTTCAAGGAGTGGGACACTAATCTGGACGCTTAAAATAAATCCAGCTATGCCCTCAGACGAACCATCAAAAAGGCAATGCGTTAATACAGGATTAAGATTTAATCCTACTACACCGGCTCTGATGCTGGTCGGATGTGGCAGGGCTTGAAAACTATTACGGACTACAAAAGGGAAACCCAGCCGCGAGCTGCTCAGTGACACGCGCCTACCAGACGAGCTAAATGCCTTTTATGCTCGCTTCGAGGCAAGCAACACTGAAGCATGCATGAGAGCACCAACTGTTCCGGATGACTGTGTGATAACGCTCTCTGTAGCCGATGTGAGCAAGACCTTTAAACAGGTCAACATTCACAAAGCCGCAGGGCCAGATGGATTACCAGGACGTATACTCAAAGCATGCGCGGACCAACTGACATTTTCAACCTCTCCCTGACCAAGTCCGTAATACCTACATGTTTCAAGCAGACCACCATAGTCCCTCTGCCCAAGGAAGCATAGGTAACCTGCCTAAATGATAACCGCCCCGTAGCACTCACGTCGGTAGCCATGAAGTGCTTTGAAAGGCTGGTCATGGCTCACATCAACAGCATCATGCCAGATACCCTAGACCCACTCCAATTCGCATTCCGCCCCAACAGATCCACAGATGACGCAATCTCAATCGCACTCCACACTGCCCTTTCCCACCTGGACAAAAGGAACACCTATGTGAGAATGCTGTTAATTGACTACAGCTCAGCATTCAACACCATTGTGCCCACAAAGCTCATCACTAAGCTAAGGACCCTGGGACTAAACACCTCCCTCTGCAACTGGATCCTGGACTTCTTGACTTCTCTCCCTCAATGTGAGCAAGACAAAGGAGCTGATCGTGGACTACAGGAAAAGGCAGGCCGAACAGGCCCACATTAACATCGACGGGGCTGTAGTGGAGCGGGTAGAGAGTTTCAAGTTCCTTGGTGTCCACATCACAAACGAACTATCATGGTCCGAACACACCAAGACAGTCGTAAAGAGGGCACGACAACACTTTTTCCCCCTCAGGAGACTGAAAAGATTTGGCATGGGTCCCCAGATCCTCAAAAAGTTCTACAGCTGCACCATCGAGAGCATCCTGACCGGTTGCATCACCGCCTGGTATAGCAACTGCTCGCCCTCTGACCGTAAGGCGCTACAGAGGGTAGTGCGTACGGCCCAGTACATCACTGGGGCCAAGCTTCCTGCCATCCAGGACCTATATACTAGGCGGTGTCAGAGGAAAGCCCAAAAAATTGTCAAAGACTCCAGTCACCCAAGTCATAAACTGTTCTCTCTGCTACCGCACGGCAAGCGGTACTGGAGCGCCAAGTCTAGGACCAAAAGGTTCCTTAACAGCTTCTACCTCCAAGCCATAAGTCTGCTGAACAATTAATCAAATGGCCACCCAGACTGTTTACATTGACACCCCCCTTTGTTTTTACACTGCTGCTACTCTCTGTTTATTATCTATGCATAGTCACTTTACCCCTACCTACATGTACAAATTACCTCAACTAACCTGTCCCCCGCACATTGACTCAGTACCGGTACCCCCTGTATATAGCCTCGTTATTGCTATTTTATTGTGTTACTTTTTACTTTAGTTTATTTGGTAAATATTTTCTTAACTCTTTCAAGAACTGCATTGTTGGTTAAGGGCTTGTAAGTAAGCATTTCACGGTAAGGTCTACACCTGTTGTATTCGGCGCATGTGACAAAACAAGTTTGATTTGATTTATAAAGGGTATTGAACAGTAGCTACACATGATTTATTTCCCAAGGCATTACATGTAAATAAATGTGTTTTGATGTTCTCTCTAAATTGTTATATTGTGCTGGGTAGAGTAACTGTTACATAATGCCATGGTACATTCGGTGAGCTCACCTTGAACATTCTAACACACACTCAGCTGCACCGGGACGAAACCACACTGCTGTCGTGTGTGTGTGTGTCAATATATTTTTTTTAAAGGTCAGTCAAAGCATAAACTTAATAAAAATGAATTTATATGTACAGAAATTGTTTGCTCTGTGGGAAATGAATATCCTACTAGTCAGTGACAATTGTGTGGAGTTTGGAGTTTGTGACAGCAACTGTGAGCTTATTACAGTATTATAGACACTATGTCCTGGGATTTCCTATGATCTTCTATGTTGAGGAACTTCTTACCTTCTAACGACTCTTGTGAGCATCATAGAGCAAAACATGTTACACTTGCGTGTTCGTGAGAGTCTCATAGATAGCTTTTAATAGTTTGTATCTCAAACCATTCCGACTCTACAGACGTTTTTGTAATAAGACCCGGTTCCGGCGGAATCTACCCTTGTCTCACAAACAACTTTTTAACTCTGCCCCAGTTAATCACACAGACTAATGGTTGGTATCTACCGATGCAGACGAAATAGACAAATCCAATGGTATAAGTCTGTAGCTCAAACACACAATGTATAAAAGGGGTTTGAAGTCCTAAATCACGCCGGCGTTATGGTGGGACTCATTGGGTTAACACTCAGTTTAGTGTCATATTTGTATTGATTGATTGATTGATTGATTGACTGGTTTGGTATCTTACTTGTAACCGGCATCGTCTCCAGGCTTATAGAACCAGTGAGGCTGTTCCCAGCCAGCGTGGAATCCCATGGAAGCCTTCCCCTTTAGCAGCTCATACACACCACTGGTCCTGTGTGTCGGACGGCCCGCAAAACGCTCCTCTTTAGGGTAGCCCACTGAGAGAGGTGGGAAGGAGAGCGAGAGGGAGAGAAAGACATTAAAACAGATTAATTCTTAACATTCTTGACTAGGACATGCCTTTACTTCATCAAGTGAAGAAATCCAATGAGTTGAAAACCCACTAACCAGTTGTCCAAACCCGTTCTCCACTATAGGCCAGCCAGAGTACCGAGTAGTGACCAATGTTCTCTCTAAGCTGCGCACGTGCGCAGCTCCCTGGGACTCTGCCGTGCAGAATAAATATCAGCGCGCACAGAGAAGCACAAGATTGAACTTCACTCAGTTTTCCCCATTAGGTAACACTTTCAACGTTTCCCTTTACCGTGGGAATTGTGAGTGATCAACATAATATTAGCCACTTTCAATGCAACATGCCGAAACAAAACGAACTATGCAAGAGATTTTATTGTAGGCAGAATGCATCGGAGTAGGATTCTATTGCATTGACAGGCACGACTCAGGCCCCTACTCTACACAGACCGGTGCGCCATAACCAATCAAAGCTGCAGTAGGCCTATATGCAAATAGACCATTGCCATATATGGACCTGTGCCATTCATTTTGAACTGGACTGTTTTTACAGCATGAGCGGTCGTGATTAGATGCGCTTGTTTTGTGATCAAAGCGAGAGCCACATGTAGCAACGTGCGCACATTTGTACATTTGTTCATATCCTTTGCTAGTTACTGAGTTATTAGCTCAGTTATAGATAATTTGTTGTCAGCAATGGGGGAGTGATTGCTTCCTACAAGAGCACAAAATCTTTGAAAAGCGAGTCAGGTAAAATTGCTTTTTTTGTCTTAAAGGGGCTGTGTTGTATTTTGAGACAGGCTTGCATAAGCTAAGTAAGCAGAGGGTAGCATAATTTGTCTGATTCTCTGTAATAATGGAATGGGAAAAATTATGCATTTTATTTTGTAAAGTGGTTTCTTGCATCAAACACAACAACATTTTCAGTCACCTCCTTGTCTGAAGGACAAGTGGATAAACAGGTTAATGTCAAGCCATGCATGTTTTTTTTCTCCAAAAGTCTCATGGAATGTAGGCCTACATTGAACACCACACATTGGCTGCTACTGTAGGCTGAACGATAGAACAGCTATTTCCATGTTAAAATGTTATGGGATGCATTTTCTCCATTGTCTTTGATGGTAGGTCACTCTGGTAGGCCTATATTATGATTAAATAGCCACAGTACATTTACGTCATTTAGCAGACGCTCTTATCGAGAGCGACTTACAGGAGCAATTAGGGTTAAGTGCCTTGCTTAAGGGCACATCGACAGATTTTTCACCTAGTCGGCTCGGGGATTAGAACCAGCGACCTTTCGGTTACTGGCCCAACGCTCTTACCCACTAAGCTACCTGCCGCCCCCAGTAGCCTACTTGACCACTGTTAAAACTAACTTAAAGCGGGTACAGCCTCAGTGTTCACAGTAAACGTGCCAGAAGTTGCACCGAATTTTCACAACCTTCAAGTTTGTGCATAGAAGACCTGAAATTTGCTCAGTGATGAAAAACATTTGAGGGAACATTGGTAGTGACTACTCACCCACATTGTTGAATCCATAGGACTCTCTGGCCTTGGCACACATGTAGGGTACAGTGGTCCATTTTCCATACCGGTTGGGGTCACACTCAATGAGGTCATAGGGAGGTTCCCCTGTCACGATCCAATCACTGAGGAACTTCCCAATGCCACCGGCGTGGATCACTCCATACCTGGGACACACACACACAGACCGTGAGGTATGACTTTAAGCTACAACCTCCTACTCCCTGTCAATCAAACATAATAAGGCTTTTATAGTTCCCACAATAGGGAAGATGCTTAGAACTTTCACACTACACCATCCACCCAGACCCCATCCCAAACACACACTCAAACACACAAACCCACAAACACTCCCACTCCTGTTTACCCGAAGCCGATGGCGGTCCAGTAGTTGCGTGCTCCCTGGTGCGGTCCAACCATAGGAAGGAGGTCAGGGGTGTAGGTGATTGGTCCAGACACAATGTTGATGATGTCAGCAATCTTCAGCACAGGCACCATCTCCATGGCCATTTCTACGTGATCCATGATACGGTCCAGGTCTGACTCAAACAACTCCTTACCAAAACCTGTTCCAACACACACACACACACACACACACACACACACACACACACACACACACACAGAGAGTACAACTGAGGTTAGGCATAGAGAGAGAGGGCGAGAGAGAGGGTGAGAGAGAGAGAGAGGGTGAGAGAGCAATAGAGAGATCAGCAGACAGACAGACAGACCTGGTGGTACTCCATCTTTAACCCAGGAGTCCTGCAACACCATCTTCTCCTCTCTCTCGTAGGGTCCAAACAGCAGTCCATCTCTCTCCTGTCTGAGGTAGTAGGAACCCTCCAGGTCCCTGATCACTGGCAGCTCTGTCTTTAGGGCCTTCACCTAGACACAACAAAACACATAAAACTTTCTTCAACATCAAATCAAACGCTGTTAGCTGTTAAACGTCACAACACATTTAGTGTAAAATAGGCACACTGAAGGATAGTTCATACAGTAAGACATTAAAATGTAATTAAATTAGTACCTCAGGCACTGTTGCTGTGACAACATACTGGTGATGGACAGGGATAGTGGGGTGCTCAAAGCCAATCAGCTGGCCAACTTCCCGGGCCCAGAAACCTGTTGACCAATCAAAGATTAGTAATGAGTTCATGGTCTGCAAAGGCGTATTGAGGAGTTTTGAGGAGACCAGGAAGCAGTTAACACACAGACAGTAGGGAGAAAGACACCAGCAGGGTGTAAACAGCAATCCCTGAACCGCTCCAGTCTCCACCACAAGGAAAGCTAAAAAAGGTTAAGAATAGAGCCTCACACACACTTACACTTTCTACCCTCTACCAACCCAGCCTTCACTTCCTGAGATCAAAACACTGTCAAGCCAACTGTGTGTATGTGTGTCTAGGGTTGTCTTGAGCAGAAAATGGCCGTAAAATTGTAGAATAGTAGAATCCCAGATACAGAGTGTAAAAGCTGGTAGCTAAGAAAAGTGAGAGCATGACTGTTACTACAGTATTATGATGTACTCTATGCCACTCAGACATGGGCTGTGTCCGAAATGGTATCCTATATAGTCCACTAGTTTAGGCAAGAACCATGGGGCTTCAGATTGAGACATGGTGTTAAGGGCCGCTACATTACACTAACAGAGTTAGCTGTATGTCTGTCTGAATATGGTTCCAACACTAAGGCTCCACCATAGAGATCCTATTAAATTACTCAAATGTTTTATCTTTATAGAGGTGGCGCACACACGCCACCTCTATTTCTATGGGCAAAAGCACTGTTTGCAGGTTTAAAGCTTATTTCCTGCAATTGTAAACATTTTGTCATGGGGTGCAAAGAACATTTTGCAGTTTTAAAGCAACTTCTCTTGCAATTCTATACGTTTTGCCATGTCTAATGTGTATCCATGTGACAAAAAAAGTACAACAATATCTATTGGCTAAAAAACCTAAATAAAAAAATGTTAGCTGACATGGGCTAGTTGATCTGGACATTTCTGACAAGTTATAAATTGCTCTCTAAGGTATGCAATGACTAACATGACAAGAGAAACTGATGATGCACTACCAAATTTCAAAATTGCACCTTGTGTATTCTTCTATTACAACTTTCAAGAGTACGGTACGTTTAAAGCCCCCCCCCGCGCCCCACAGTTTGGGAACCACTGAGATAGGAGACCACCTGTTCTACCAGCTGATTCACTTTAGAGGGAATGTCAAGTCACACTTCCACTTATTTCTGTTTTAAACTTAATCAAAGGAGTCATTTTCAAATAACTTCATTTTCTAGGATCTATTTCAGTTTCTAAGAATTATTCCAGTGTCTTAGACCTTCATTTTCGAAGTGGTCAGCTGAGATTGCAACACCTGGCTGTGATAATGTGATCTGATTTGGTCTTATTTGATATAACATCAGATGACTGTGGTTGTATAACAAGACAGCTCTTTCTCAAAGCCGCCTTCTTCTTTTGGGGTTTAATGGCGGTGTGCAAACCAGCTTTTTAGAAGCATTACTGCCATTCCCAAAGCCTTTCTTGGGAGTGTTTTACTGGCGCCCTGCTAATTAGCTTCCCCACAGAAATACTGGCACAAACACGAATGTTCCTACCCCATAACATTCTGAAAGAGAAAAAAACTGACCAGTCATAGCCACTAGATTCACAGGGTCATGGATACACCCCTTAAACAAAACACTCACTCACTACAGTACCTGTGTAAGTCACAGAACTATTGGTTGACCATGACAAGTGCAAAACACAGTCAATTCATAGTATTGCACAACTTTTATATACATTTATCCATACACTACACCACATAGCATTAATAAGAGACACCCATAAAATTGTACACATAAAATAATAATAATTGATTGCATAACCTCTGTGTACAGTAACCTGACTACTAACCAGTATTAATGGGTTGCATGTTTCGTCACAATATTGTTTTGAACGTTCGTTTTGGACTGATGACCAACTGAGCATTCTACTCAAATGCATTGTCAATGAGTGCTGATAAAGATTTCATCAAAAGTGCATTACAGTGGCTTGGAACTACAATGACATTCAGAAGGAGGCAAATAATTAGTAGGAAAAGCTTTTGTCATAATTTTGATGTCACCAGATTGACTTTAGCTAGCTAAGATTGAGGGGAGGCCACCGGATTTTAGCTAGCTAACATTAGCATTGCTAGCTATTGTTGACAAACTTTGCTAGCCAATAACATTGCAATCTGTCTAAAGTCAATTTGATGACATGATGACCGAGTGACGGAGGTGCAACCTATGAAATGGAAGACTGTTGCTACTGGTCCCTAGCCAGACAAATATTATGACGAAAGTCCGACATGTGTCAACTGCGCTATCTCTATACACACAGACAAACACACACACACCATGCCCCCTGCTGCCACCACAGCTGTTTGTCCCCACAGATCACAGACTGGTAATGGCCTGCAGGAACTAGTTGTGACGGGGAACAAATGCAGATAACCCCAGTTGTTGACTTCTGCCGCTATCTGCTGAGTTGCAACTGTTCCACACCAGAACCTGGCTCAAATACAGTGCATTCGGAAAGTATTCAGACCCCTTGACTTTTTCCACATTTTGTTATGTTACAGCCTTATTCTAAAATGGATTCAATAGTTTTTTCTGAATACTTTTACATATTCAGACCCTTTACTCAGTACCTTGCTGAAGCACCTTTGGCAGCGATTACAGCCTCGAGTCATCTTGGTTATGACGCTACAAGCTTGGCACACCTGTATTTGGGACGTTTCTCCCATTCTTCTCTGCAGATCCTCTCAAGCTCTGTCAGGTTGGATGGGGAGCGTCGCTGCACAGCTATTTTCAGGTCTCTCCAGATATGTTCGATTGGGTTCAAGTCCGGGCTCTGGCTGGGCCACTAATGGACATTCAGAGACTTGTCCCGAAGCCACTCCTGCGTTGTCTTGGCTGTGTCTTTAGGGTTGTTGTCCTGTTGGAAGGTGAACCTTCGCCCCCAGTCTGAGGTCCTGAGAGCGCTGGAGCAGGTTTTCATCAAGGATCTCTGTACTTAGCTCTGTTAATATTTTCCTCGATCCTGACTAGTCTCCCAGTCCCTTCCGCTGAAAAACATCCCCACAGCATGATGCTGCCACCTCCATGCTTCCCCGTAGGGATGGTATTGGCCAGGTGATGAGCGGTGCCTGGTTTTCTCCAGACCTGAAGCTTGGCATTCAGGCCAAAGAGTTCAATCTTGGTTTCATCAGACCAGAGAATCTTGTTTCTCATGGTCTGAGAGTCCTTTAGGTGCCTTTTGGCAAACTCCAAATGGGCTGTCATGTGCCTTTTACTGAGGAGTGGCTTCCGTCTGGCGACTCTACCATTAAGGCCCGATTGGTGGAGTGCTGCAGAGATGGTTGTCCTTCTGGATGGTTCTCCCATCTCCACAGAGGAACTCTGGAGCTCTGTCAGACTGACCATCGGGTTCTTGGTTACCTCCCTGATCAAGGCCCTTCTCCCCTGATTGCTCAGTTTGGCCGGGCGGCCAGCTCTAGGAAGAGTCTTGGTGGTTCCAAACTTGTTCCATGTAAGAATGATGGAGGCCACTGTGTTCTTGGGGACCTTCAATGCTGTAGAAATGTTTTGGTACCCTTCCCCAGATCTGTGCCTTGACCCAATCCGGTCTTGGAGCTCTACGGACAATTCCTTCAACCTCATGGCTTGGTTTTTGCTCTGACATGCACTGTCAACTGTGGGACCTTATATAGACAGGTGTGTGCCTTTCCAAATCATGTCCAATCAATTGAATTTACCACAGGTGGACTCCAATCAAGTTGTAGAAACATCAAGGATGATCAATGAAAACAGGATGCACCTGAGCTCAATTTCAAGTCTCATAGAAAAGGGTCTGAATAATTATGTAAATAAGGTATCTGCTTTTTATTTTTAATACATTTGCAAAAATTTCTAAAAACCTGTTTTCGCTTTGTCATTATGGGGTTTTGTGTGTAGGTTGATGAGGATTATTATTTTTAAATCCATTTTAGAATAAGGCTGTAACGTAACAAAATGTGGAAAAAGTCAAGGGGTCTGAATACTTTCCGAAAGCACTGTACATAAATACTTGAACTACATGTAGGGTCTGATACAATCGCTCATTTTAGATTCTGCTTTATATCTCTCAAATTGGGCAGAGTTTGGCTGATTTTAACAACGTCTGCTTTGTTTACATTTTCCAGCTCAGAGGGACTTACGTACTCTCTCTACTTTTAAAGGTTGCCTTGCCCCAATTATGTAGGATACAGCCAGTTGGGCCAGGGCAGAGCTTATGGAGGAGTCAGAGTAGACAGCACACATGTTTACCAGCTCCCTGTATCAGGACACACACAGGGCCATTCACAGACCCTCCCAGGAATAACATCAGATGAATGGACTCTGTGATCCACTTCCAATGAGGCTTTATGTCTGACACAGGCTCAGCCATGTCCAGAGTACACCCTCCTCCACACCTCTAACTAACTAGCTCATTTCCCTCCCTCGCTTGTATTTATGAGCACCAGTGATAGCGTGATAAACTAAATCATTTCTGAAGGCCAGAGACTCTGAGCGTGCCGTCTTTAGCCAACTCTCTTGCTATCTCTCTCAGAATGACCTTCTTGATCCAAACCAGTCAGGTTTCAAGACTGGTCATTCAACTGAGACTGCTCTACTCTGTGTCACGGAGGTTCTCCGCACTGCTAAAGCCAACTCTCTCTCCTCTGCTCTTGTCATTCTAGACCTGTCTGCTGCCTTTGATACTGTGAACCATCAGATCATCCTCTCCACCCTCTCCGAGCTGGGCATCTCCGGCGCGGCTCACTCTTGGATTGCGTCCTACCTGACCGGTCGCTCCTACCAAGTGGCGTGGCGAGAATCTGTCTCTGCACCACGTGCTCTCACCACTGGTGTCCCCCAGGGCTCAGTTCTAGGCCCTCTCCTATTCTCGCTATACACCAAGTCACTTGGCTCTGTCCTATCCTCACATGGCCTCTCCTATCATTGCCACGCAGACGACACACAACTAATCTTCTCCTTTTCCCCCTTCTGATAACCAGGTGGCGAATCACATCTCTGCATGTCTGGCAGACATATCAGTGTGGATGACGGATCACCACCTCAAGCTGAACCTCGGCAAGACAGAGCTGCTCTTCCTCCCGGGGAAGGACTGCCCGTTCCATGATCTCGCCATCATGGTTGACAACTCCGTTGTGTCCTCCTCCCAGAGTGCGAAGAGCCTTGGCGTGACCCTGGACAACACCCTGTTGTTCTCCGCTAACATCAAGGCGGTGACCCGATCCTGTAGGTTCATGCTCTACAACATTCGGAGAGTACGACCCTGCCTTACACAGGAAGCGGCACAGGTCCTAATCCAGGCACTTGTCATCTCCCGTCTGAATTACTGCAACTCGCTGTTGGCTGGGCTCCCTGCCTGTGCCATTAAACCCCTACAACTCATCCAGAATGCCGCAGCCCGTCTGGTGTTCAACCTTCCCAAGTTCTCTCACGTCACCCCGCTCCTCCGCACACTCCACTGGCTTCCAGTTGAAGTTCGCATCTGCTACAAGACCATGGTGCTTGCCTACGGAGCTGTGAGGGGAACGGCACCTCCGTACCTTCAGGCTCTGATCAGTCCCTACACCCAAACGAGGGCATTGCGTTCATCCACCTCTGGCCTGCTGGCCCCCCTACCTCTGCGGAAGCACAGTTCCCGCTCAGCCCAGTCAAAACTGTTCGCTGCTCTGGCACCCCAATGGTGGAACAAGCTCCCTCACGACGCCAGGACAGCGTAGTCACTCATCACCTTCTGGAGACACTTGAAACCCCACCTCTTTAAGGAATACCTGGGATAGGATAAAGTAATCCTTCTACCCCCCCCCCCCTTACCCCACCCCCCCCCCCAAAAAAAATACATATTGTAAAGTGGTTATCCCACTGGCTATAAGGTGAATGCACCAATTTGTAAGTCGCTCTGGATAAGAGCATCTGCTAAATGATGTAAATGTAAAAATGTAAATGTAAATGGCATATACAGTGAGGGAAAAAAGTATTTGATCCCCTGCTGATTTTGTACGTTTGCCCACTGACAAAGACATGATCAGTCTATAATTTTAATGGTAGGTTTATTTGAACAGTGAGAGACAGAATAACAACAACAAAAATCCAGAAAAACGCATGTCCAAAATGTTATAAATTGATTTGCATTTTAATGAGGGAAATAAGTATTTGACCCCCTCTCAATCAGAAAGATTTCTGGCTCCCAGTTTTCTTTTATACAAGTAACGAGCTGAGATTAGGAGCACACTCTTAAAGGGAGTGCTCCTAATCTCAGTTTGTTACCTGTATAAAAGACACCCGTCCACAGAAGCAATCAATCAATCAGATTCCAAACTCTCCACCATGGCCAAGACCAAAGAGCTCTCCAAGGATGTCAGGGACAAGATTGTAGACCTACACAAGGCTGGAATGGGCTACAAGACCATCGCCAAGCAGCTTGGTGAGAAGGTGACAACAGTTGGTGCGATTATTCGCAAATGGAAAAAACACAAAAGAACTTTCAATCTCCCTCGGCCTGGGGCTCCATGCAAGATCTCACCTCGTGGAGTTGCAATGATCATGAGAACGGTGAGGAATCAGCCCAGAACTACACAGGAGGATCTTGTCAATGATCTCAAGGCAGCTGGGACCATAGTCACCAAGAAAACAATTGGTAACACAATACGCCGTGAAGGACTGAAATCCTGCAGCGCCCGCAAGGTCCCTCTGCTCAAGAAAGCACATATACAGGCCCGTCTGAAGTTTGCCAATGATCATCTGAATGATTCAAAGGAGAACTGGGTGAAAGTGTTGTGGTCAGATGAGACCAAAATCGAGCTCTTTGCCATCAACTCAACTCGCCGTGTTTGGAGGAGGAGGAATGCTGCCTATGACCCCAAGAACCCTATCCCCACCGTCAAACATGGAGGTGGAAACATTATGCTTTGGGGGTGTTTTTCTGCTAAGGGGACAGGACAACTTCACCGCATCAAAGGGACGATGGACGGGGCCATGTACCGTCAAATCTTGGGTGAGAACCTCCTTACCTCAGCCAGGGCATTGAAAATGGGTCGTGGATGGGTATTCCAGCATGACAATGACCCAAAACACATGGCCAAGGCAACAAAGGAGTGGCTCAAGAAGAAGCACATTAAGATCCTGGAGTGGCCTCGCCAGTCTCCAGACCTTAATCCCATAGAAAATCTGTGGAGGGAGCTGAAAGTTCGAGTTGCCAAACGTCAGCCTCGAAACCTTAATGACTTGGAAAAGATCTGCAAAGAGGAGTGGGACAAAATCCCTCCTGAGATGTGTGCAAACCTGGTGGCCAACTACAAGAAACGTCTGACCTCTGTGATTGCCAACAAGGGTTTTGCCACCAAGTACTAAGTAATGTTTTGCAGAGGGGTCAAATACTTATTTCCCTCATTAAAATGCAAATTAATTTATAACATTTTTAACATGCTTTTTTCTGGATTTTTTTGTTGTTATTCTGTCTCTCACTGTTCAAATAAACCTACCATTAATATTATAGACTGATCATGTCTTTGTCAGTGGGCAAACGTACAAAATCAGCAGGGGATCAAATACTTTTTCCCTCACTGTTTACATTATATTAATATTATAGCCTAATTCATCCTGTCTACCAAAATAAAAAAATAAACCAATATATCCGGGTTTTTTTTGCCTGACTGGATAATGTTGTAGCTGCTGTGAATCAACTATGTATTCAAGCACTAGACAACATTTTGGTAGTTACGGGCAGCAGGTAGCCTAGCGGTTAAGAGTGTTGGGCCAGTAACTGAAATGTTGCTCGGTCGAATCCCCAAGCAGACTAGGTGAAAAAATCTGTTGATGTGCACTTGAGTAAGGCACTTTACCCTAATAGCTCTGGATAAGAGCATCTGCTAAATGATTTAAATGTAGTTACAGCTTGTTACGTTACATTATGCCTAGTGAGGAAATGAAGTTGAGTTGAAAAAACATAATGAGTTACATTCTAAGATAGGCAAGTCATCTTTGAATAACAGTCAGCTATGGTTTGACTGATGTACAGAGGTGATGATGACACTAGATTGTCAAATGAGTGGACCCAAACTGCAAATTCATTAACTTAAAGAAAACATCAAAACCTGCAGAGAAAAGGCACATGGAAACCCAAGCTTCACTTTAAGGAATCAGAAAATGTTTGTTCTTCAAGATTTAAAAAACTCTGGCAGCAAAGTGTTAAACGTCCGCTGAAGAGGCGTCCTTCAACTGCTGCTCTGTGATTGGCTAAAACCTGAATGGTTGGCATGTTTGGATAAACTGATGAGGGAACGGAGGGCCAGGGGCCACAATATTAATGGGTTTAGCAAAGCAGAGTAAACCTACAGCGTGCCCTCCTCCTCCTCCTCCTCCAGGGACCCATAAAGGAGGGCGAGAGCAAACTTCAGGCAGCTGCAAAATGAGTCAGTTATGCAAGGAGGTATGATAGTGGTGACAGAACCACCCCCTCCCCACTCTCCCAAACATACACCCACACATAACAAACCATTTTTCATGGGTACGCCAACTCAGTTTGGAAGGATCATGAGAAGTCAGTCAGCTACATACAGTGCCATAGCTTTGCCAAGTTCCTATTAAACATGTGCATGTGTCGATGCCATGCTCCAGACCAGAGCATTCTTTCCTCTATTACTTGCTGCAGGGGACTCTTCAGTTAATGTCTACTGAACTGCATTGTTTCAGAGCTAACAGCATTCCAAATATTATCGCTGTCAATCTACTACATTGGAGGAGATCGAACATACATTGGGTAAATCTTCTGCATTGTGGGCAGGGAGAAACATCTTGTTGCAAACCACAAACAAAGTTTTCCACATTGTGTGCTGTACAGTGGCAGATGTAAAATAAACTCTAAACAGAGTTAACGTTTTATCTGAAAAAACAAGTGCTGCAGGAAGTTTCCACAGAGCAGTGAACTGAAGGCCAGAAAGATAATAAGAGAGAGAGAGATCAATGAAGCTAGAGGGAGATTTAGGTGAATTCCTGGACTTTGCTGGCTAAACAGCAGTGGAAGGAGAAGAGGAGCAGTATTTGCCAACTAAATCCTCCCAGAACTGGTATGACCTGGTTCAAACCATGTGACCCTGCTTCCCCTGAACTCAGAATGCTGTGTATATGGTCAAAATGTCCCTAAGATAGCAGCCTTTGAATAAGAGCTGTTCAGACATGAGCCAGAAAGATTAAGAAGCTCAGCACTGGGCCAAATCAAACAATAACTACAACTGAACTCACCCCTAAAGCATTTAGGTTCATCTCAACTTCTTTGTCCTCAGAACTGTGGTCCTAATATCTCATTTGTCTGTGCCGAGTGTGCTCTATACTGTAGTCTATACCCAATACTACTTTTACTACTGTAATCTCTCTTTC